TGTGCCATTCACTAGCTGTGGGGCCTTGAGCACGGTCAAGCAGCTCTCCACGCCTCAGTTGTACTCACCTCTACAATGGGGTAACATCTGCAGAGTGAGGCTGGAGGGAGATAACATACTTGAAAGCCCAGGGCCTTCCCATGGTCACTGAGGAAACTCCGCCCTCCTCAATTCCGACATCACTGTCCAAACTTTATAAAGACGAGGAAACGAAGGCATGGGGAGTCAAGGTCATGTGTTGAAGTTCCACGGCTGTCACCTGGTAGAGCTGGCTGTAGCCCAGTGCTCACTCTCTTAAAACTACATCACACTGTATCCCAGATCTGAGCACTGGGCCTTCGTGACCTTGACTTAGGCAGAGAACTTAGATCAACCAAGACAGGAAAAGTCCCTGAGGAAACGCTCTTCTGGCAGAGGGAACTGCTTTTTCCTCTCCATCTCCCTGTAAGGGACTTGTCCCCACACACTGGGACTTGATCAGGTTGCCAAGATGTGGGAAACTTCCCTGATGATCCCTAAGCCAAAGCCAGGAGCTCCTGGGGGTGTCTGCAAAGACCCGCTTACTCAGGCTGCGAGCAGACTTTGGGGCACCTGCTTCTGCTAGTCCTGCCCCAGCTATCTGGGAAAACGGTAATTGTGCTATGTGTTTTTCAATATATCCAGTTACTTTATTTTTGGAGGAAAGCAAGGAGGAACAGTGAACACAACACTCCCCTTCATTTAATTACAGGAACAGTCAGGACCAATTTGGCAGCTATTAAAATACTACTTTGCCTTTATGCTGTCTCTTCGCAGCGGGAGCTGGAAGTCCAAATTGGCTGCTAAGGGCTGGCGATGGGGACAGAAGGTCAACACCGCTATTAGGAACCACGTGGAGTTAAAAACAGAGGCACCATGTGGCCTGTTCTGTTTGTCTCACTGTTTGCTTTTTGTCCTTCCCCATCTCTTTGTCTTTTAAGCTCTCTGCTCTGTCACAATGTCTTTTGCAAGAACTGGTCCCTAAGCATCGGAATGGGAAGGAACTTTGGGGACCATCTGTTCATCCCCTTTGTTTTCCAAAGAGAGGCCGAGTGGCTGCCTCAAAGCCAGCCCATGTTGGAGGCAAGCAGGACCAGAGCACAGAGAGGTGTCCCCATGCAGGGATGCCCAGCCCTGGGACACAGTCCTCTGCGTCTGAGCCCTGGCCTCGCTGTGTGAGCTTAAGCAACTCCCTTCATCTCTCTGAGTCTCAGTTTTCTTTATCTGCGAAATGACGCTAATAAGCTGGGAAGGGTCACCAGTTGGAGCCGCAACATTAAAACCAACACAAAGGACAATAGAACTAATGAAAGTTAAGTTAATGGGAAAAGGTGTGTGTGTGTGTGGGGGGGGGGGTCACAAGGTACAAACACCCAGTTATAAAACAAGTAAGACCTGGGCTGTCATGTACAGCGTGGTGACTACAATCAATAATACTGCAGTGTGTATTTGAAAGTCGCTAAGAGAGTAGATCTTAAAAGTTCTCATGGCAAGAAAAACATCTGTAACTACATGTAGTGATGAATGTTAACAAGACACTTTGCAATATATACACATATCACATCATTATGCTGTACACCTGGAACTAAGATGATGCTATATCCTAACTTAAAAAATAGGCTCTTGCCAGTGAACTACTTGGTGATTTGATGGGATGCGTTTATTTTACTTTAGGAAGCCTCTCCAGAAATAATAAAAAAGAATTAAACAAGCAAAAAACTAAAAGCACTAAGAGCCAGGGCTTGGCGATAGTAGTTGGACCGCTAGAGTAGCCATCTCTGAAGTCAGACACTGATGCTTTAGTTGCATTGTACAAGGACTTCCTTTCCTCCTTAAGCCATTTGGAGCTGGGTGTCTGTCATTTCCCACCCACAGCGTCCTTCCTGACACAAGACCAGCACAGGGACCGGAGCTGAGCTCTGCACACGTGGGACAGAGGATGCGGGAGACGGGCATTGGCTGAGCTTGTTCGTGTTGTAGGTGAGACCGCAGCTAACGAAGGAGAGAGTGGCAGACGATGACATGTTGGTTCATGTTACTATTAAATTAACAGGAAATTACTGACTTGATTCATCAAGTCAGAGAATCCAAGCTGAGGCCTCATGGGGGATGTTGGAACGTGTGAGCTATTCTGTCCTTGTATTTTAGGGTTTTAGAAGGAGGTGCAAACAACATCTCATAAGCCCCAGACTTTGTCCTGTCCCATGCTATTTGGGTACCACCTGTCAACTGGTGATGCACATCAGTTAGACGGGATATACTCACACACCCAGAGGCATGACTCTGGCCCATACACCATCTGTTTCTTTCTCCCAACAGCAACATTTTAGTCCAATACTTATCATGGCACGGCCATCATTTTCATCACCACCACCATCATCATAGGGCATTTAAACCATGTCAAATGTTTTTATGCAGCATCTCATTTAATCTTCCCAACAATCCCATGAGTGTAGGTCTATTAAAACACATTGTATGCGGGAAACGTATTTATACGTTTTACGTTGAGTGGTAGTAAGTAGAGTGCGGGACACGTATTAATACGTTTTTTATAGACTAGCGGTAGAATGCGGGTAACGTATAAATACGTAAACTAAAGTTATCGTAATTTTACTGAATGTTGCCATTTGTGCAAAAAAATTAGCAAAAATGGCCCACACCACGCGCCACCTGTTAGCGCGCGATAAAAACTACCCGCAAACAATGTATTAATATTTCCATTGTACAGGTAAAGGAAAAGGCTCAGAGAAGTCAAGCCACCTGTCCAATATAACACAGCTAGGACACGGTAGAGCAGACTCTAACCCTAGAGATGTAATCTCAAAGCCCATGATGTTAACCTCTGTCTGATACCATGTTCCCAGTATAGTGGCTGGAAACATTAATCAGAGAATAAATACTGACTAGGCTGAAACAAGAATAGTAGGGTAGATGTAATTCAGACATGCCTATCAATTTACAATAAGCTCCATTCTCAATGTGTGACTTTATTTGCCCAAAACATGTATGACAAGGTTACCTAGAGGGGAAAAAGGGTCTTCAATCTCTACCGAAGGTGGGGACATGAAAACGTGGCCTAGTTTTAACCACCTCCAAGGAATCTTGTTCAGCTCTACCTCATTCCCATGGGCTTTGGAGCCAAAGACCTGGGTTCAAATTCCAGCACTTTCCAGCTGTGTGACCAGGGGAAAATCCCCCTTTTTTTTCCTGATAAATGGGGCTACTGATTCTTGTTTTTGCATTGAGTGATTGTAAGAATGCAATTGGATCCTGCATGAAAAGGGTCCAGCAGAGCAATGGACACTTAGCAGGGACACAACACACAGAGGCTATAATTCTTCTTCCTCTGCCAGGCCGCCCCCACCTTAGTTACTGGACATGCTATACTCATCTGTGCTGCTTTACAGAGTGGCCTCACATCTGGGGCTCTTTTTATAATCCTCACCTGAGGATATGTTTATTGATTTTTAGAGAGAGAAAGGCGAGAGAAAGAGAGAGAGAGAGAGAGAGAGAGAGAGAGAGAGAGAGAGAGAGAGAGATTAGTTGCTTCCCATACACACTCCGACTGGGGACCAAACCTAAAACCTAGGTATGTGCCCTAAATGGGAATCGAACCCGCTACCCTTTTGGTGTACAGGATGATGCTCCAACTGAGCCCCCCAGCCAGGGCAAGTAAAGAATGCAGGTTGTCAGTAGGACAGGAACAATCTATAAATAGACAGCTGGATGAAATCAAAGTTAAACCGCAGGAAATCGATACACCACAAGGACTCTGGGGTGACTACTCCAAAGCTCAGGAAACGGAGCCCGCTGCTTCTTTTGTCCCTCCCTGCTGTGGATAACTGGGTGAACTAAGTCACAGGGCCAGCCACAGCCACACTGGCACCAGCAGTGGCGAGAACACTGAAAGCAGAGATCGCAAACTGAAACGCCAACGGGGCCAGGTAGGGAAGGGGGACAGGTGAGAATGTCCGAGACTTGGAAAACCTTCTTTTCTTTTAAGATGAACTGGAAATCTGGATTTTCATGGGAAATACTGCTATTTTTAAATGGGGCTATTATTTTTCAAATGGAACACCTGAAGTAAACACAACAAAACAAAACCAACATGAGGGCCAAACAAAACAGGTTAACGAGCTAACATCACCCTCTGAGCTGCCAGGTTGTGTCCGGAGGTCAACTCTAGAAAAAGGCTCTAAGATGCTAGAGTGCTCCTGGGCTGGATTTTAATGGTGTTTTACCTCTGGATGGTGTTGCTGATCATGCGATCCCTCCTACAGGGGGCGCTCAAGACTGTATCCCTTCAGGCTGATCTCTGGCAATGGGGATCTGGACCCAGTTCAAAGCTGGATGGTAGTGATGCTATTTGGCACTGTTCATTTTAACGAGGGAGGTGCAATGGGTCCAATTGGGCTTTGGGTGCCTCAAATTCCTGCCAAAGTCTCGGGCAGCAAAGTGAGGCAATGGTGAGGGCACAGGGCTGGAGTCAGGATACTGGAGTTCAACTCCTTGCTGGTATGGGACTCTTTTCCACTAGAGAGTAAATTCCCTAAGAGCGAGGATTTGGTCTTGTTCACTGCTAGAAGGCTGCCTGGCACACGCGTGACATTAGGCAGATATTTGCTGAATGACTGGCTGACCAAATGGTTGGGGACATCACAAGTGACGGGCCTCCGTCTTCCCACCAATAAAGTGGGAATTAACAAGGCTGCCCTGTTTGCCTCGAAGTTGCCACAATGGGACACGGGACGCACAAGAGTGCTTGACGAAAGGTGTAAAGGGCAATGACCCGAGGAGAACCACTGAGTATGATCTCTGCCCTTCACTGACATCAGAGGGACCACTTCAGATCCCACCGTGGCCGCCTCCCTCCCACCCTCAACTTCCTTCTGGCTGCACCAAACCGCGTAGAAGGAAGCCCCAAAATGATCACTCAGATTTTCATTTCCATTTTTGTACAAAGACGGGGGAAGACACGCTACCTTGCATTGTCCCGGCCGTGTGACTTCAAGAAATTCATATCTCGGTATCGGGAGAGAAATGCCACCAGTTGGTCATTTGTCCTGTAAACAAACAAAGAGGAAAGTCAGAATCCTCCAGAGACAACGGGGTCTGGAGTCTTGGCTCCATTCTTTGCATGGAAAACAGCATCCCTCCTCCTTTCACACCCACCGGCTGAAAAGGCTGTATTCCTTCACGAGTCGGCATCCCTGGCCTCACCACACCACACTAAAACGCACTGTCAGCGTGTCTCCTGGATGCTCCCTGTACTGTGAGCTCCTTGAGGATAAGCATACTATCTTACTTTGGAATCTTCAGTGCCCTGGGCTTGACAAATAGTAAGTCATCACTGTGTAGCTCAATGCAAATATGTAGCAACCCCAGGGCCTTTGCACTTGCGGTGCGTGGCAAATCCTGTCCTGTATCTTCCCTTTACTAGCCGCCTGTGACTATCCAGGTTCCCCTTTCAAATGTCATCTCATCGGAGAGGTGTTTCATAGTCACCCCACCGAACCTAGCACCCACACCCCCTCTCTGCCTTTATCACATCACTTTATTGACTTCACCCTCTTACCAACATCTGAAGATGTTGAACTTCCTGACATTAGGACTTTAAGTTCCAGCAAGACAGAACTAGTTGCACTTGCTCATCACTGGCATGTAGCAGGAGCTACAAGGATGTTTGTGGATGAATAAATGACTCAGAGTCAGATGAGTGTGAACTGACTCTTTCAAATGTATTTTGGGAAATGAATGAATGAGTGAATGAATGAGTGAATACCAAGTTCTCAATAACCACTGGGCCACTGATTGAGAGATCTTTAAAAAAGATAAAGCACGATACAAACAAATGACAACGTTCCCAGCATTGTTATCCCGAATTTATCACCATCAATCTCGGCACTAGCAGTGTAGTCACAGCTAATCAGCGTGTGCACACAGCTGTGACAGCATTTTAAAAGGCAGTCACACCGGTCTCCATCTGCCAGAAATGTAGTCGCCTCTCCCGCTGAATAAACCCAAACAGGTAACGGGTGCTGAAGTGACAGCTCCTTTATCATCAGGCTTCTCTGCGCAGGGGTTTTTGTTTAGAAGAAAAGGGTTAACCATTGTTTCAGATTGGGAGAAATGTGCAGGCAGTGGAAAGGAAGGACATCTATGGGAACGGGCTGGAGGCTGGACCTTCGGGAGGCAGGCGGGTGCCTGGGCTCAAGTCGCAGGAGGCTCTGGAGACAGATCCCAGAGGCTCTCCTCACCAGGCTCTGTGTGTCTCCAGGTAAGCAATTTACCTCCCCTGGACTCACCTGGGTGGGTCTAAAGGGCACACAGTAGGTGTACAGTAAGTACAAGCTGCGCTACTCTCTGCCTCCCATCATCTGGTCCAAGCTGCCACCACCCCTCACCGCTCGCTCCTTCATTTCCCTGCATCTCCCTGCAGTCGCGCCTCTCCCAGCCCCTGTTCTGTGATTGGATGACTCATGTTTGACCAACTCATAATTCCAGCGGAGGGGGCACAGAGCAGTTAAGAGATGCTGCAGTGAAAATGAGCACTGCCGATATCCCGTCCCGTTACTGAAATCAACACCGATGCAAAGCCAGCCCTCCTAGCAGGCAGACTCCAGAGAAACCCCGTGCGCCTGCAATGAGCTAAATCCGGCACACACAGCCACTCAGCCCTGCCGGTGCTCAGAGGTGAACCCCGGGGATGCAGACAAAGGCTCACCCCACGTGTCTGCACAATGATGGTGCGTCTCCTGTGTGGACAAACCCGCCCGCTCACTGCAAGGTGAAGCCCACGCGTGCCCCACGCCAAGTTACGGCTGCGTGTGGGCAGAGGGCCTCCTGAAGTTGCTGGGAGAGCTCTTAACTGAAGCAGCCTATAAAAAATTAAAGCGAGCTCCCTCCGAACCATCTACGCGTCCTAGCATTTCCTATTCACCAGCCCCCTCGCTACTCTCTGCGCCAGTTCATTATTGTCGTCCTAATGAATACGGGGACAAGTTAACCTCTGAATGGGTCCCTGACAGCAGGAATAATAAACAGGGGCCTCTCAGTAGCCTCAGTGGGAGGGTTGAAGGGGCCGGGCTGGGGCTCCCTGGGGGAGGGGGACCCCCCTCTCTCAAAGCCTCAGGCCTCTCAGGGTCAGCGGCTGCAGCTCCATTTGGCAACCCCAGAAAGCCCTTTCAGGGCCCTGAGCTGGGGCCATTTTCACATTTACCGCTTCACCAAGTCCCCATCTGACGGGGATGAATAGGCATTTAGCGAATTTACTTAGCAATGCTTCCACATGAAATCCTCTCAAAAGATGACATCTTGGGGGAGGGAGGGCTGACGGGGAGGGAGCCGTGGATTCCAGGCCCAGAGCTTGTGGGTAAAGGCGCTTTTTCAAAGCAGAGAGCGGTGTCCCCTGCCTGTCCCCTCTCCCTGGGGCCCAGTCCCCCTCGCTCTCCCTCTGCATAAAAAGCCTGCTGGGAGTACTAAAGCCTGTCTCCCAGCCCTTCTCCAAGGGGAGAGGGAATTCGGCTGGGGACCAAGTTTTCCTATTGTTGCTTTCAGACGCCTGTTGATAATTGCCTACATAATATTTAGTTCTCTCCAGATAATTAACAGCTTGCGATCTGTTGACATTTTACCCAGTTCTAGCCTCTCTCTCTTCCCCTCACACACACTTCTCACTCACTCTCTCTGGTGGAGTCATTTGCCAAGTGGCTCCCACAGCTCAGCACTGTGTCTGTCTCCCCACCAATTTCTTTGCACCTCTTGCAGAAATCATTAGAAAGCGTGTCTCTTCATCTATGCCAGTTCCTCTGACTCATGATGGTGACTCGGGTCCATCACGGTCCCCGCTGGAGACACTGGGACATCTTTGTTTTAATAAACATGGTTTTCAATAAATACATCTTAAAATAAGTGTACTGGAACCATATGGAGATATTGGTTGAAATGAATTAAAAAAAATGAATAATGAAAGAAGCTCCATTGACCACGTATGGAATGTCCACATTAGTTTAGGCCCCACTTTATTGCATTTAGTTTTCACAAAGATGCCATAAAATGTGAGTTTCATTTCCATTTTACGGATGGGCAGCTGAGGCTCAGAGAAGTCACCCCTTTAGTGAAGTGAAGAGTCAGGACTGGAACTGCCAGACCACTTCACCAACGACTGTGTGAATAAATGAACAAGTGAGTGAGTGAATTCCACTCCAGGTGCAGAAAAGATACGGTGCTCTGAGGCCTCCCCACTGCATCTGGTCTTCACAGCAGGAGCACCAGCCCTCTCTGATAGACGCCGTATCTCAGGCTCCCCCAACACCCACTGAGTTAAACTCTGCTTTTTAACAAGATTCCCAGGTGAGGCGTCTGCCCTTTAGAGCTTAAGAAGTGCTGCTTTAAGTCAAGCATGGATATCGGTAGTTAATTCTCTTTCCTTCTTCATCTTCTCCCCATGGGCTCTTCCTGAAAGCCCAGACCTCGAGCATGTTCCTTTCATCTCCATAAGCCTCACGTGTTGCGAGTATTAAGTAAAATAATGCGTGTCAGACCTGTGCAGAGGCACCTGGCATATTCTAAGCCTTTGATAAATGTTGCCTGTTACTTAATACAGGGTGGAGCAAAAGTAGGTTTACCATTGTGAGTGCATGAAACACAGAGTTTATTCTTATATACTTATTTATTGATTATTGTATTCATTTCCATACAGACAACTGTAAGCCTCCTTTTGCCCCGCCCTGTACTATTATTGCCATTTTGAGCGCCTGAGACATTTGCACGGAACAGCAGTGCAAGGACCCAGCCTACTTTGAACTTGGAGGCTTCCTGTGCATCACACCCACGCGATGTTTGCGGAGCACAGTCTGAACACCCTAGAAGGAACTTACCCAGTCTCCTAGCCAGGGTCAGAGTTGGGAACTGTCTCCCAGGGGCCCCTGCACCACCACACGTGTCTAATATGCATAATGGCTCAAGGCTGAACACACAGGGAGGGGCATGGCTCCCTCTCTGGTCCTTCCCCACACACCCTCTCCCCCAGGAGCCCAGCCACAGCCACACACCGTCTGCTGGCACGTGAGATGGGCGAGGAGAGCCTGCTTAGCCTCCACTAAAAAGAGGCCCAACGCAGAGCCCACTTCTCTTCTCTGCGTCCCGCCTGCCCCCCACCCTTGGGCCCCAAATCTCCTCTAATACAGGGTGCTGAGAAGAATGGGAGGTGCTCACGACTAGGGGTGAGGCTGACAGTGCTCAGGCAGAATTCAGTGAAGCACAGAATTTTGTGAATGTCAGGATTCAGGATTTCAAACCCCTCATGCAGACTGGCAAGTCTGCACAGACCCGAGGGACCAGATTCAGCCGCCGTGGGGGCGGGGCGTGGGCCACCTGTGGAGCAGAAATGTGCAGGACGGTAGTGAAGGAAGGACGGTGGGCTTGGACAAGCAGAGGGTGGTGAGGGTCGAGGAGGCACCGTCAGTCTGAGCCCAGTTTCTACTCCTGGTGTATATCTGTACAGTTACCTCATATGTATGTTCCATTTACATACCACTTTAGCTTCATCCTAAGCAGCAATATATGTGATCGCTTGTGTACCTTTTCCCCGCTCAAATTTTAAACTGAGGTAAACACATAAGCTTGAATTTGCCATCTCAACTGTCGTTAAGTGTAGAGTTCCATAATGGTAAGTACATTCACAGTGTTGTGCAACCATCACCACCATCCATCCCCAAACTTCTTTTCATCTTGTAAAACTGAAACTCTGAACTCATTAAATAACGACTCCCTATTTCCTCCCTGCCCCGAGCCTCTGGCAACTTCTTTCTGTCTCTACGAAAAGTCAAGTTCATACAGTAGACAAACGCTAGATACCTCACCTAAGTGGAATCACACGGTATTTGTCTTTTTTTGGGACTGGCTTCTTTCACCCAAAATCCTGTCCTCAAGGCTCATCCACATGGTAAGCATGTGTCAGAATTTCCTTCCTTTTTAAGGCTGAGTAATAGTCCATCAGGGTGTACCATTGTTATGTGTTTTCCTGTTACATGTGAAAAGTAACAACTACTACTTGTAACTC